TTCATACGAAATATTTTTAATCATAATAAAAGGCATTTGAAAACAAATTCCTTTATTGCAGATAATTGAATCAGATAATTTAAATTTGACTTTTAAATGGGTATTATCTGCCGTATGCAAAGCTTCCTTGGTTTTTGAAAAATATTCTGAAGGAACAAGTCCTTCATTGATGCAATTTAAATCTGCACCAGAATCAACCATAGCAGTAGTATCAAGAATAAACTCTTTATTGACAATTAAAGTAATCTTGATATACCATTTGTGAGTAATAACTCTGTCAAGAAGGTTTATATTAACACTGGATGATAAAGGAGGAAAATCATCTTTAGAAAAAGAAGGTTCTCCCTCTTCAAGTTTCCTATTAGGAGGAATATCAAWKTTTTRTAGAAYATGATTTTGTTCTAAAATTAACATTCTAAATTTGAGATCTGAAATTTCAGTTTTTAACAAATTTACTTCAGAATTTAAATCTGAAATAGTAACTTCTTGAGTTATTGAAGCTGGATTTTTAACCATGTTTATGATTTCTTTTAAATCATAATGTGGAAGATGTTTTTCARGGGTACTTTCAGAAATATTATTTCTGAGTTGTTTCAAATAATCCTGAAGAACGTTTTCCTTTTCTTCTTTATCACTGATTTTATCAATGATGTCAAAAATAAAATTCTCTTGCTTTGTTAGAACACATAAACCATTTATTTTACACAAGGCAGAGTATTGGTTACATTGACCATTACATGAAGATATAATTTGTTCTTCATCATCTGAGGAAGAAATTTCACTTTCAGAAGAGTCATTAAAATTTTCCTCATTAATGACAGATACAAATATTTCTTCATTATCAGAATCAGAATCAGATATTACTGCTTTTAATAACGATCTTTTTAGACCTTCATCAATATTAAGATTATTAATCTTCTTCTGGGTAGTACACTTATTAGCATAATGACCCAGTTTTTTGCATTTCCAGCAAACAGGTAATTTTTTTTCCTTATTAGGAAATTTTTTATTTTTAGAAAATTTAGAGAAAGATTTGTTTCTCTTTTTTGATAAATACTCTTTAAAATATTTTTTCTTCTTGGGTTTATGAGATTTTTGAAAGCTTGGGTTTTCAAAACTCATCTGTTGGCAAAAATCACCAAGAGCTTTTTTACCAGAGTATTTTTCATTTTGAAATTGTTTTTGCAATTTTAACTTATTGCAAAGAGTAATACCTTCTTTCACAACCTAAGAGGCTAAGTCTCCATAGGTTAAGTGATCACAAGGTATTTTCCCGTTATTCATATTTTTTAGACGATTTTTAATTCGTTTGGCAAAGAAATATGGAAGTCCGGAAAGAAATTTTTCCTTCCAAAATTCCTGATGTCCATCATTCCTTTGATAGATTTTTGAGAAAAAAGTATCTTTATACCATTTAAAATGGGATAAAGTTGGACATCGTAAATTTATTAATTGTTCTTGAATTTTATCTGTATACAGATTATTCTTTCCATTAAAATGGACAAGAATTGTATATAACAATGTATTAACTGTATCTGGAACAGGTTCAGATTGGTTAGGACCAATTTTAACTGCAGACATGATAGCATGCTTTGCTTCTACAGATAAATAGTTATCCCACCAGCCTTTTAGCTGTCCAGAAAATCCATTTACTAACATTTCTGTTATCAATGAATCTTTATTATCATTAGCTGCAAAAGCTGTTGCTGCCATTAGCATATGATGTACTAGTTTATGGATTTCGTATTCACTAAATCCATCTAAATTCCATTTATAAACGGATTGTCCATCAAACTGTTGACTTGAAGGGAGATCTTCCTCATGCAAAAGATCAACAGGAGATGGCCTATGATAATAGGGCTTTTTAGTTTTAAAATTTACCTTTCTATCATAGGAAATACGATTTATGTCAAAAGGTATGTTTGTATCATTAATTGATAAACTTTCGAGTTGAGTTATTAACTCATCAGTTAAGGGTTCCTCATCTTCTAAAACATCATTTTTTGATAAAGGAGTTAAACCTCTTTCAACTTTCAAAGATTTGATTTTTTCATGAATTTGTTTAACAATTTCAGAAGTTGAGAAGGTTGGTTTTGATAAATTTATTTTTTTATCAAGAAAATGAGTTTTGAAAGGAGGAATATCTTGAGTTGATAAACTCGAAGGAATCATTGATTCCTTTTGTTCAATTCTATTTAATTGTGCTCCAATAGATTGGAGAGACAAATTTGTATAATTGTTCTGTTCAATAACAACTTGTACGGCTTCTAAATTAGAAGTAATACTTTCTTTAAGGGGTTTTCGAAAAGGAGAAGCTAAAACTTCTTCGTTATCTTTTTGAATAACTAAATTCATATCAGGAGGATGTATATCTCTGATATGATTTCCC